AACGCTTTTTTTTTTTTGATAGGGATATTACCGCAGTTTTTCTCTAAAAAATGGCCAAATTTGTGGGGATGTTTATGGGCGGCCACCCCCCCCCCCCTTAACAGATCTGAATATCATGGGATTACAAACACTATCTGGACCTGTTGATGAAATGTTGGATGAAGAAACACAAGACTTATTAAAAAAAGCAACAATTTATCATATTCCAGAGCAATGGCGTACTAATTTCTTTGGTGAAACACAACCGACGACATTAAATAGTCGGTTAATGAGTATTAGCAATAAACAAAAAGATTATTTGACAAATCAATTGGTCTGGCTTGATTATGTCAATGTATGTGTAAGCAAAAGTCATTTGAACACAAAGTGGATAGTCAGACCTCAGACAAATTGAATTATTTTTCGAAAGATAAACAATCCAGTTGTTTAACAACTTACAAAGTGTATGATGATATAAACAGTAGAGCTGCATCTGTTGGATTTGAAAAACTATGTCCACCATTAGAAAGATATATAGTAACAGAACAAGGTGCTGTAATGATACAGAGAATGGCCATGGCATCAGCGTATTTTAAAGGTAATGATAATGAGTACACTGAAAAAAGTATAGTTAAAGAATTGATAGATAATAATTTCTCAACAACTGCCTGCAGCACAAAAAGCATCACGGTTAGTGAAGACAATGGTCCATACCGTTATTAATTCCATTTTTTTGATCAATTCATGGTTCAACGTGGGAAAGGGTTCGACTACCATAACAATGGACAGTATCTATCCAGTTACCTGCTTTGATGATCGCCAATGCTACTAACGCATGGAAAATATTGGCAACTATAGGCTCAAAAGCTTGGCAATTAACTAAAAATGTTGGAAGATGGATTCTTGCGCAGCTTCGAACAATTAAAAATACCATTTTATTCCGGTTTTGTCCATTGGGTGAAAAAAGTGCTGGTAATGCAGGTTGCTGTGAGTGCAGCAAACAATACTGTACTTGCAGATTTAAAATGGATGAAATTCTTCAAACACGTTTTACCCAATATTCCTTTATCAAAATTATGTTTATTTGAAAACTCAAGACAGTGTAAAAATAATTGGTTTTGTTATTACGGTATTTGATCTCTATCTTTTTTAATTATTTGTTAATAATGCATAGTTTGTGCTTATATATTTTAAGATTAAAAAAAACAGTGTGTGCAAGTACTTATGTGTAGGTTTAAGAGATAGCAACAACATTTTTAATAATTAGTTATCTAATCCTTCTGTAGCATGGGTATCAGAAGTGTTTTTGAATCAAAATTAATCTTGATCAAATAATATATCGTGATGTACGAGCGATAAACATGAACAATAACCTTTATATTAACACGTGTATTACTTTATAAACTTTGTACTTGAAAAATAAACGAGAATAAATACTTATTTTCATATATGATCGTCGTAATTTTTATCAAAAATGAACTCCGTTTGGTTTATTTTGTTAGTAATCGTCTCTTGTGAAATGTTTGAGTCTTCTTTTTCTCAATCAAGCTCGTCTTCAGCGTCAACTCAAACTGCCGTTCAAAAGAATGCTTTAAGACAACATAATATTTTTCGTCGTCGACATTGTGTTTCAGCGTTAAAACTAAATAACACTTTGAATTCAATTGCTCAAAGATATGCAAATAAGTTGGCAAATACAAATACGTTTGTACACAGTAATAATAAATTAAATGGGCAAAGATTAGGAGAAAACTTATGGCAGACAACAAGTTCAAGAAGACTGACGGCTGTTGATGGTAATTTGTAGCAAAAACTATTTTAAAAATCGTAAGTTCCTATTTACGATGTACATGTTTATTTAGGTACCAAAGCAACCGCTGACTGGTACAATGAGATAGATTTGTACGACTTCAGAAAGCCAGGATTTTCATCGGCAACTGGTCATTTTACGCAACTAGTTTGGTCAGCAACTAAATCACTTGGTATCGGTATTGCTTACACAAAAGATGGAAAAACCGCTTTTGTCGTCGCAAATTATTATCCAGCAGGAAATGTAGCTGGTAGCAGCTATTTTGAACGAAATGTGCCAAAACAAAAACAAAAGTGTTAGAAAAACCAAATATCTTTTTCATTTTGTTTAAACATCCATGCTACACTAAAAGTTTGTGACGGATTTATGGCATACTGTAATTTATCGATGTACTACGCTAGAGACTGACAGTAAACTCAATCTACGAAAGGACAAATGGTTGTAATCAAACCAGCATAAAAATCGTATACTTTCATTATGTATCGATGTAGTCTTTTTTTAATGAAAAGTCGCGATAAATATACCGATTATTGCGCCGCCATCCTTTTTTTGATACAAAAAGAATATCGACATTTATCACTTTTTTTGATAAAGAGAAACTATATTTTACATTACCGCCATCCTTTTTTCGATACAAAAAGAATATCGACATTTATCACTTTTTTTGATAAAGAGAAACTACATTATCGCAATACGGGTTACTTATTGGGAGACGGTAGGCATAGCTGAAACGTTCAATAGAACTTTATCGCGATATCTTGATAAAGATTTATCCGCTTTATCTGGATTAACTCGACCGTCGATAAAATGAGCAATATCGCGATCAATTTCTATTAAACAATTTAGCGATAACAAACATATCTTAATAACTAGCTTGTTATCACACAACACACCAGAAATTAACTCCCTATTGCGCTCATCACGACAAAACAAACAAAAAAAGTTACATGACATATATTATGGCTATCGATTTTTGGGCTGTCTTGATATAAATCATTATCAAAAACAACTGGACGAGTAAGTGCTTCGAGGTGATTTATGACATACTTTAATTTATCGATGTACTACGCTAGAGACTGACAGTAAACTCAATCTACTAAAGGACAAATGGTTGTAATTAAACCAGCATAAAAATCGTATACTTTCATTATGTATTGATGTAGTCTATTTTTAATGAAAAGTCGCGATAAATATACCGATTATTGCTCATACACAGAAAACAACTTTCATCGTCTTTTGGAAACGGATTTTGACATCATTGCTAAACGGCAAAGTTGTTCAGAACCATGAGCTCTACCATATAGATAAAAGGCAGACAAAAATGGTGAATTTTCACCGTTTTCTGTGTAGAACATGAATTTTGTTGTTTTAAACATATTTTTGTCGATTAAAACTAAAAGAAAAGTTAAACTAGAACCTTAACTGACACTTAACGGAGGAAAAAATTCGACTTTTCATAAACGTGGTATATTTCGCATCATGCTACATCAAATGATTTTTCGAAAATAATCCATGTAACATCAACTATTCAACATTGAGTGATCAACAGTGAC